GAGTCATTCAATAAAATTCTAACAAAGAAAGTTTCTTGAATTTGCTGATGATACACCTCTGAACTGAGATTGTTCAGAAAACTACCTCACACCATCTCAGTTTAAGTATTTTGCCTCCAGTTTAATGCATGACAACTCAGAGTGGCTCTTTCTGTCCCTTTTAGATTTATATTTGTTGCTACCATTCACGGTGAAGCTGAAAGAACCTCATTTAAGAGACTTTAGACAAAATACTCACTGTCGCTGTGGAAATTTGTAAACCTCACTCCCATTATTTTCCTCTTCATCTCCTGTTTAAAGCACTAAGATTCTTCACACTCAGACATAATTTCCCATGGAAGCCTTATGAAAAGCAAAAGTGTCTCTATTTAAAAAGTATTATCCAACTGAGTGTTACATAAGACGCTCCAAACAGGAGTCAGGCCTCACAAATGAATCATCAGCTCAGTCATCATGTCAAACAATGATCCTCTGGCACTCATAGCACTTCATGGTATTTTACACAATCTAAAAAGACTCAAACACAGCTAAATACGGGCAGGAGTATCACTTACAAGAAGATTAGCACATTTTACTTTCAGCTTTATGTACCGACACAGAAATGTCAACACTAACAGCACTCGCATGCAGTTCCCTGCGGCTGTCAGAAACAAAATAGATCAGGCTTCGATTTCACTCAGAGTATGCTGATCATGAACACGAAAGGAAGGAAAAAATAAGGTGGCCAAAAACACACAGAAGATAGATCCAATCAAAAATTGAGACTTCTGGATTGATTTTTTTCCTAAATGTTTTTTTCTATATTGTGTATAAATATCAGCCAACATCAAAGAACAGTTATACATTGGTAGACATTGTGTACTTGTGTGTCTGTGCTGGGAAAGTGAGTTTTTGCCTCCTCAGTTATCAGTATATGATTTGAACTTCTGTACCAGCTTGCTGACTTGGTTCAAACAGGTGATTCAGTCTGTTAAACACTGCAATCTGCTTTCATCTTTACAAGCCGGTGGGAAAAATCAGCAGTTGCAGGGCACAGCAGTGTCAACTTTGCATTACTAGAATATGTGCTTCATCATTATTTACATTTATCTCATAGTGTATATCATAGTGTTTAATACAGGATGACAAAGACATCAGGGGGAGTGCAGTCCAGGAGAGAGCTCTGCTTAACTCTGGCAAGTTGAACATGGATCACTAAAATGTGATTGGATGACTGGATTGAGTTCAGTCTTGACTATAGAGATGTAAGATGTCTCATTAAGTACAACTACAAAAAGAAAAATGAAATCTTTGAGTCTTTGGTGATAATCATAACCGATTATTTACCACAAATTTTCATAAAAGCTACAGTCATTCCTCAAGTGTAAATCTGCCGGCTGCAGTGGTAACTTTGTGGTAAGAGGGGTAGGTGAAAATGAGCTCTAGCTCCAGCCTACACCCTTTTGGTAACCTAGGAAATTTTAGAGTTTTGTTTGTAATTGCTATTTGTTTTGTGCACTGTAACTAAACCACAATAAATGTAATTTATTTTACTTTCACACTTTGTTGGGAAGTTGGGATGGAGTTCAACCCATTATCTACATGAGTTAAAGGTAATTCTCTTTTCTCTCTCAGTAAACTGGCAAACAGACCGTTACTCCTGCTCTTGCTTATACTGACACGCTAATAGCTTAAAGACTTGAAATATCAAAGAAGTCGCTGCAGGTATACATCAACGCATAACCTACAAATACAACAAAACATCATGATGGTGTATGTGACTGATGCTATAACTTTGACTCAAAAATCAAGCTTATTTAAATAAATAATTTAACAGTAATGTAATCATCATTAGAATGATGTTGCTTATCAATACCGATACTTTCCAGTATTCTCTGTATTATACTCCATTATTTGGCTCAAAGCCATGACATGTAAAGACACTGAAAGATATCTACTGTAGGTTTTTTGGCCACACATTAAGCATGTTTTTGTTTTGTGTTTTGTAACTGTAATGTGTTTTTTTGTCTGCTGAAATTTGCTGCCGATCTTGGCCAGGACACTTTTCTAAAAAACATTTGAATCTCAGCTTGGCTTCCTGGCTCACTTAGACTTTTCCTAACCCAGTAGTTTATTGTGAACACTTATCTCATCGATTTGAGTTTGAAGTTGGTTTAAGTTTGTGACTTTTTAACCTCACACAAGTGAATGTTTGTGCAGTTATGTCTTTAATTATATGAAATATCAACATGACAGGATGATAATTTACAGGCTTTTGTTCTTTTAATGGGGTAACCCTGAGATGTTGTTGTTTGTTGTTACCAATAGCAAATCCTTAATTGTGTTTCATGAAACTCAATAAAGCCTGTAAAAAATTAAATTAGACTAACATTGCTGCCAGTATTATTGATCCCATTTTCCTACGGTTAAATTCCATGCTTACCTTACACAGCAAGGCCTGTCAGAAAAGTACTTTCAGTACTTTATTTTACTCCCCCCTCTGCCCGCCCCAGGCACAACCCCAGAGGAAGATTCCCCGACTCTTCCCACAGCAGAGTCAACAGATGTATGCTCTTGAGTCATTTCCTTTTCATTCTTAACAAAGTTTTACATTTTTAGATCAAATTCAGAGATGTTTGTATGCTCATCTAAAATGTGAGAGCATATCAATTATATGGAGGAACTCATTTTTTTACAATTTCTTTGTAGAATTTTAGCAAAAATGAAACTAATTTAATCTCTTAGTTTAAGAAAATAATTTTAAGGTAAAATATAGTGTCAGATTTCTTTGATGTTTTTTCCCCTTAATTTTTAAAATTATTAATTTTAGAAAATTTTGAACAGAGGCAGATTTCTCATTTTCTGTCAGAAATGCTCACTACAAATTATGATGATAACAGAAGCTCAATTGGTATTTTAGCATTGAAGTTAGTTTTCTAAATCTTTTATCTGGGTAATTGACACCAACTCCAGCATTTAATTAGCACTTTATTATAGATTTTCTTTGGCTGTCCTATTCTTGATCTATTGTTGTCTCCTTTGCTTCCTAGCTGTTCACAACACTGCTGGAGGTACAGCAGAGGAAAAATGGGAGGAATTGCTCATGTTGCTGTCTCTGCCGCAGGCAGACATAAACAACATTTGGTGTGTGCACGAGTTCAAGATATTAGTGGTAGTTTTGTCACAGCGATGTTTGAGAGTCACATGGAGGCATGGAGCCGTCAATAGAAGCAGATATAATGTTAACTCTCTGCAGCTGCCTCTGTTGCCTCCAGCTGTAATGGTCTTTTTCTTATCAAAGTTTGAACTCTTTTCTCTGTTTCATTTGATTTCTTGGCTAAATTGTTTTTTTTCTAGGGTAGTTAGGAAAAGGAAATATAGAGAAATTATTACAGTACATTTATTATATTCATTAATGTCATAATTTGGAAGTTTATTGACAACTGAACTAAAATTCTGATTTATTTCTTCCTTTGACATTTCAAAATGTCTCCCCATTTTTCATCTTGATTTAAAATATTTCATACATCTTTAAAATTGACACATTTAGTGTACGAGAGATTGTAAATCTCAAATGTAAAAAACTAAATAGTAGGAATTTCATCAGTCTGCATAATGTATTTTTTTTTATAACTGACCTAAACAATACTGTTTGCAGTAAAGTTCTTTATTCAAAATAGGAAAAACATGCAGAGTGTTACTCTAAGATATTTAATGTTCATTATATATATTTGTGGTTATTTGTTCATTGGTCTGCCATAAGAAAAATTTGGTCCCTGTAATATTCTAATGGACATTAAAAAATATGTATTTGTAATAGAAGAGATCTTTTCATTTAGCAATTTAAAGTCTTGGAAATATATATTCAGAGGGGTAATTTATCATATACATTTTTGTTGAAATGTTTAATTTTAGAAATCCTCCTCAGAGCTAATTCCAATATTGTTGTGTATTTATTAATAAAAAAAAAAAGAAATCAATCTCTGCATTACATTTAAATCATTTAACAGATTCATCAAACTACATGACCCCACAGGTCTAACAGTAACAATAATTTAACATGACACAGAAAAAACTACATTTTAAATCTATTAAACTACAATTGATCGTCTGAAATTGATCCCTCCCAGTCAAAGGGAAATTAAATAAAGAAGACGAGGTACTTCTTTATATTCTTTACTGTTTTGTTGTTTGATGCTGATAATGGCAGTAAAATGACAGTAACTGCTCTCTCACTAACTTCAACAATAGATTATGTTTATAGACAGCACAGATGTTCAGAGGCATGACTGATGGCAGTATACCTTACAGATAGTCTAAATGATGTGCATGTGTTTACGTATATGTGTGTAAAAGGCAAAAGTCTAAATGTGCATGTTTTTAATCAGTCCTGGTATAACCTCTTAAAGCCCAGAAAAACGGCACAGGCATTAAAAACATAAAAGGGAAAAAGGGCAGTAATGAATTTAGAGGAAAATGGACATTAATGGTATTAGCATTACTCGTGTTCCATATAACAAATTATTGGAAATTTGACAAGCACACCAAATTATCTCCTCATGCCTGACGGTAGTGTGGTGAAGTCCTCTCTACCTGCTGAGGAAAGACAATTTCTGCTCATTTTACTATTTTTAACAATAGAACCAACCCATTAAGACAAATTAATGTCATTATCAAGTCTCTATGAAAATGACAAATACCACCGTTTCGAGCAGCTTTAGAGGCTATTGACAATAATGAAATTCGCTGTACAGGTACTGAAAAGAAACACTCCAAGTAATTATTTTCTAGTAGCTTGTTTGTCTGCCATCCGTTCATTTGCTTTCAGCTCAATTATCTGACTCTGTGAGCATGTGGAGGCGCATAGTGCTCTGCGGCCCACAGAGCGAGGGCCCTAATTGGGCAATTACCGTTCTGTTTCGGGGCTTTTAGCTCCGGTGGAGAGTGGAGGGAGACCGTGGTGTGTAAAACCATGAGGACCTTACATGCACAAAACCACACATATACACTGTTTAAACAAAAACAAAACCCCACATCCTCTATACACACACAGAGATGTATATGCTGCGGCTTTAGTGCAGCTCGTGCAACAAACACTAAAAACATAAAAAGTGACGAGAGCCACAGGCCACAACACAGTGCTTTCAGCAGCACATAATGCAGGTGCAAAGCTAAATTATCTGCAACTTTTCCAACATGTGATTATGTCATGGGACTGCTATCTCATGTACATATGCATTCCTCCATGTTTCCCTTTAAACAACACTCTTTACTTATCTGAGCAACCAGCAGCTATAAATAACTGAGAGTGCTTGCTGCTGCTGCATTTTAGCAGGGGGGGGTGGTGGGCTGAGGTGGTTGGGTTGCAGTTACAGAGACTGCAGGGTCAACAGTAGGTACCACTTAAAAGTGTTATGCATCATCAGAAAGCTAGAAACTACAGGATACATTTCAGGGCTCAACAATCAAGTTGCAGCAATGCCTTTGCAATTTAAAGTCATTCCAACTGTAGGAGAAAGTAAAGGAAGCCTTTTTTGAAATTCTTTGTCACCATACAGTCCTGCACGATTTCAGTGATGCCTCACAGAATGGATATGGGGCGAAATCACAGGAAAACTTGAATAAATGCAAAGCAACAAATGCAGCTGTTTCCACATAAGAATAGAGGAGTTGCAGAACTGTTTAATGAGTATAAAAATGAAATGAATAGTATGTTTGTTATCCACTTTACAGATCTCAACAGCTATGTTAGGGTAGTATTCAAACTGTACAATAATGCAGACAAGCTGGCTATACACCAAAAAGACAATTTCACTTCAGTCTCTCGCAAACAAGCATGTGGATCTTTGACTTAATCTTGGAGAGGGGAAATATTGTAGCCTGATTCTGGACCTCTGTATTGCTGCCCACTTCACCACGTTTTGTCAGGGATTATTATGATTGAAATAACGTTCCAGTGAATGAGAGCAAACGTAAGACGGAATTAAGACTTATTATTTTGTGGAAATTTGTTTTCATGACTCAAGTCCAACGTTTTGACCGCCATCATCTTGTTTTTTTTAACCCGAGGACTAGGCTACTTTTGGACAAGCGGGTAGATATGTACCATTACTGAAAGGTCACTGCAGTAGCAACTTGTTTATCATAGGTAGCTGTGTACTTAAACACACCCTGCATTATTTCTACTTCACCTTAAATGGGGCCGTCTTTAGTAAACAAACTTATAAACTACAAGTCAAACAAGGAACTCTTTGTGACAATGTTTACCTAGTTTATCAATCCAGTGAAAGTAAGGTACTTCTCCTATGAACCTCTATAGAATACAGCTTTTTGAACCTTGTGGAGGTTAGCCATTAATAGAAATAAGATCGAGAGCATTTAATAAGTGCTAATAATGTCTTTTCAAAGTCTATTGTACATTTTTTACTTAAGGCCGAAGAATAAGGATGGAGAAATGTCCAAAACAATCTGTCAAAATAGCTTTAAAAGTTATTGTTTTACTTACAGATGGAAAGAAATCTTATACATGTTCCTTAATTATCTCACATAAAGTCACTGAGTCTGCTTTTTGATTGTTACCACAACTGGTAAAGGAAATAAAGTGATCCAGTAAAACAAAACTGTAACCAAGTTGGGCTAATAGTTAGTGGAGAATTCGCTCTGAATTTGCAGTAAAACTTCAGAGGCCATTTGGGTGGAAAAAATAAAAGCCATTGATATCTTTTCATTCTGTCTCAAACCAAATATATAATTCATGTCGTATGTAGTGCGATATTATCAAATCAAACTGCATCATTGTTCTGGTTGGTGTCATGCTCACGGCTGGTGTTTTATCTCTGTTTATACAGATGTTGATGATGTTTGTGACACAGCCGCACTGTCACAATGTGGAAAACAGAAGCAAAAATCTAGACTTCAAACCTGTGAAACAAAAGTTGGCACCCCAACCCCCCTTTCACTCCCCATCCCACCCTCCTCCTCCTCCTCACTAATTTTCATATTATCCCTGCGCTGTGTGCTCTCCCCCTCACTTTAACATTCTGTCACGCGCTCCCTGGATCATGTAGCTTGTGTTAATTAAACCCTCTTTCAGATCATTTTCTTGCTCAAGTGGCCTCAGTGCAGCACCCATTAGGCAGAAAGCTCTGTTATCTGAATTTCCAAATGTAGCTCAACATTTATTAAAGTGAAATTCATCCAGTAATTGCCCGCCTCGGTATGCCCCATGTCTCCCTCTTACCTCAGGGGCCACCTGCTCAGAGACACCTCCAACTATTTACCAGCATGACGCAGGGTAATTAGACCCCGCTGACCCCGGCCACTAAGAGCCTGGTAATTGCGTTAATAAAAAAATTAACAGCAGCAGCATGAGGATCATTATGTAAAAATACTCAGTAATGAAGCATTAGCCTTGATTTTATTTGGATTAAAAACAGCTATAGGTATTTAAAGGTTACAGAGTCTGCTAAAACAATATCTTTTCATTAAATCCCTGTGTAACTGAGGAGCAGGCAAGGTGACATTTTAGCACAAATATCTAAGACTGCCACACAACTCTGCCATAAAAGCACTATTACATGAGGAAGCTTTGTTTTCAAGAGGCATGAAGGACTATCCTACCTACACAGCTTTGTTATGATCAGCCTGCATTTGATTTTCTTACAAAAGTTACAGTGAAAGAAGCCAACCCTCAGGGCATCCTTCATCTACCGTTACTTTCAGGATCCATGTTTAAAAAAATCAGCTTTGTGTCCAATTACTAACTGGTCAGAGTCGCCCATTTTAGGTTTGATAAACTTTGACAGGCTTCTTCTTTTCTTGCTAAAACAGACAGGATTCAAGCAGGACATATAGGGCAAGCACTGTTTTGCAGGTGTTGGCATTCATCCAACTGACGCTGCCAAGAAGACTGTTACCTAATGCCTCACCTCTGGTCTTCTAATGACAATACATTATGTGGGAGAATTTTTATACATGCTAATTTCAATATTCACTTGGATCAACTAAAAACGCAGGGTTCATCATGTTAAGTTACTTACTTAGTAAAATACTAACACAGTTTCACTTAGTTACTACATATTTTCCCTTTTCGCCCAAGTTCAGATAGTGTCATAAATCACTGTTAGTGTAATTAAGGTACATATGTTGTGCAGGATATTCAATTATAATAAAGAGATTATTGAACTTAAATACTTTTATTTTCTGTGAACTTGTTATTCAGAGAATTTAGGAATGACTTACAAGAAAGTTGTCAAATGTGACAGATTCTGTACCAGAGTGAAGTACAGAAGTTAAAAGATAATTGTCTAAACAGTGACACCCCATGGGCAAACAGTGGAACTGCAGACATCTACATGACTATCTCAGGTCTCAGAGGTTTAAATAAGACAGATTACATTTAAAGTACCTGGTAATTAAGCAAAGCTGGAGTTCAATGCAAACTGATGTTTTTTAATTCTACATTAAATTAATTCTTTTAATTGTTAGCATGTGAGGATAATTCAGACACTTCATTCATTTATTTAACATCAAAATTAAAACCCCACAGCCCATCTTTCACGCCCAACCTTAGAAAAGAAAAAAAAAACATATACTTTCAGCTGTCATATCCCAAAAACCCTTCTGACACTGAACAGCTATTTTTTTGTATTTTGTTTTTTGTGGTGGTCTACAGTCAACTTATGAAGGATAAGAAGCCAGAAAGGGTGATAAAGGGACACAGGATTGACAAGGTCCCTTAGCATTGCAGAGTTTAGTATTTAAGTTTCTGAGTTGTGTTGATGCTCTTATATGCTGTTGTTTAAAATCACTGACAACATCTCTCATGTGTCTTGTCTTGCTGACAACAAAAACACTCATTTCACTCATTCGTCACACTTTCATTCATGTTAATTTTTAAAATGTTTTGACAGAGTACTTTTTAACTAGCATGTCTGCAATAAAACTCTTGCCTGAGGAAGTAAGATAAGATTCAGAGTTGCAATCTGGGAATGTAAGCTTGATTCTTCCTCTTTAGTGTGGCTTTAGATGGACTGAGGTACCTTATGCCATTTTATCTTCAACATTATTGCTTAAAGGTTTTAGCCCTGCAGAGCAGTCATGTCAAGTGACTTCACAGTTAAAATTCAGGATGGTTGTTTTCAGTCATTTCTACAATTTTCTATGCTTCATAAGAACACAGAAATAGACACATTTAACACAAAACATTAAAAAGGTTGTTCTCCATTTATAAACCATATAGTTCTACAAGAGGCTATTAGGATTAACAATGTAAAGTCTCCTTACATGTAAGTATTGACAGAGTAACCCTAATTTTATGGTCCCTTTATCTTATACCTCTTAAACAATCCCACAGAGCAGCAGCAGCTAAAGCTGCAGACAAGATTAATGAGAGATCAATGACAATTAGCCTCTCTTTTGTCTTTTGTCGGTGGTTCTCTTTTCATGTGTGCCTTTGTTGGTAAAAAAATACATAAATAAAAGCGGCTGTCCTCTGTTTGGTTTCTTTGGTTAGATGGTTGAATAGAGTGCTGGTCTGTGGCCTCACTCATTACCAACTGGCCCTGTTAGCATTTACAGCATCAGAGCGGGTTGACCCCACAGTATTCATAGCTCCACACCTCACAGCTATTTGCTGTGAGAAAATAAAAACAGGCTGCACTGGCTCATAAAAACGTCGATTTCCTCTGAAAAGATACCGGAGGTTTTGTTACTTTTTGTTGGGCGGTTGCATCAATGAGCGATGCTGCACAAGGAAGCAGAATTATCACACTCATTAAAAAAAAAGGAACATTGTGCCTAAATAATATTAGATGCTCTCGTAAACATGTTTTTTCTGTATGATCACTTAACCATGCACACTAAACCACCTGTTACCTCTGAAACTTTCCCCGATTCTTTCTTTGGGCTTTCCAAAACGTGAACTCCTGGTGACAGAGAAAGCAGTGCCAGACTGACTGGGTTTTTGGACTTAATGCCTTAGCGTTTGTGCCTTTGTCATACCGACACTTGAAAGAACAAACTACAGGCTTAAAACAATGGTGTGACCAAATGCTTGACTACAGATGCACATTTCCGTTTGTGGCAATCAACACATGCTATGAGTGTGTTGTATCAAATTAAAAGAACAACTGAGAATAAGCTCAAAAACTCTACTTACAATAACTCATGATCTTAATCAAGAACAAACACAAGTCTGAAGCTGAAGCTTTAGTTTGAGCTAAATATGGAGGAAAACATTAAGAAACTAATGAAGAGAACGCCGGCGTAAAGAGCAGGTGATGGCTTTTTTTTTATATTTGTTTAAAAGACTCCGCTGTTTGATGCTTCTGTTACAGCCATCTAAGAAAGCAAAGATTAGACCTCTTTTGTGCCAAGTAGCATCAAATAAATTCATCTATGGCTGTTCACTTAACTGTGAAATCTCTGGCGTCACTGTTTTTAGAGACCAATGAGTCAGGCTTAGGATGTAATGTGCCTTACGAAAAGTTTCCTCACATACAGGGAGCACCGAAAGTGGGGAAATTTTAGTGTTATGTTTCACAAATATCTTTTTAGGATGGAGTCTTAAAATGTTTGCATTTCATCTAAGTTAAGCTAACAACAATAGCCTCTTCATTCAATCCTCAACAAGAGCGTTTTCTTTGAAGACCAGGCAGAGAGGAACAATCCTGACAAACCTCCAGCCTCAGCAGAGGCCTACAAAAGCTGATTTCTTTAAAGGACAAGGAGTTCTGAGGAATAATAGAAAAGCAAATGTTGGGAAACGAGAGCTTAGAAGAGTAGAAAATTTGATTGAATCTATAAGGATAGTATTAAATGCAGTTCCCAGGAGAGAAGTTGAAAACAAAGGGCAGCAGTGAGGGGTATCAGCTGAGGTCAAGTTGTGTCAACCTGAGTTAGGTTCAGATGAGCGCACTGAGGTTGACCTGTGTACCAAGTGTAAAGCTGCACCGGCCTGTTTAAAAAGCCTGGCTTTAATGCCAGCGCATTGATGTCATTATATCTCCAGTGGGCCATGTACCCACAGTTGACAGCCTCCTGGTTTGACCACTTTATTTTTCACAGACACCCATCGGTAAAAGCATTCAAGAAATCAGCCGCATTAGTGAAATGGATCATTTGTGATGTGGTAACAAATTAGGCCATTCATAAATACTGAACAATGACAGGAATTCAGTGTTTGGTCTCAAACTTTCAATGGCAGCTTTAAATGGAAAAAGCCCCGGTGTGAATGACCATCATGAGCATAAAGAGAGGGTTTGAAATAGTTAAGCTATCATAACAATTTGTTAATGTGACTGAAAAATCACCCAAAAGGTGTCTTACAATGTCAGACTGAATTCCTCAATAATGAAAGGGGTTGTGCAGTGAAATGTGTTGCAAAGTCGATCAAATAAAAGGTCTTGATTTTGCATTAAATATGTTTTCAATCTATACTCATATTTAAACAAATATCTACCCATCCCTTCATCGCAGCACATTTGTGTATCAATTTAAATTGAAAACTACAATATTTTTGATTTGAAATATTTACACAGCATGAGAGATGGTGATTAATTCTGAAGGTTAAAAAACTTCTTTATGTTACACAATATTAGACTTGCATATTTTGAAACACAACCAGAGCACCAGAGCATTTTTACTTAATAATATCTGTGCTCAAACTGTTTAATCCTACCAGGCTGTGCTACACAACCATGAGGGCAATGTGAGGTTTAATATGTTAACTGTGCCAAATACACTGTTTGTTGGCAGAGTCCTTTTGAGTTATACTCAAGAAGAACAAAGGAGCTCCTCCTGGATCTTCAAGGGGAGGCTGACCTTGTTCCTAGATGACACTAAACAGAGGGGCTAGGGTAAGAGTTAGCTGCAACAAGTCACTCAATAGACAGCTGGCTGACCTTAAGCAAAAAGACACAAATGATGCTCACAAAAGTATCCGATCTGCCTCCTACTGCGGCTCACAGATCTATATCAATGACATGGAGTTCAGTGCAGCATCACGACATCGTCAACACACCACAAGAGATTGAAGATAATGATTTAACCACTGGATGTTCTACGTAACGCAATATTTTGAGTGGCCGCTCAAGTCCCTTCAATGAAACAACTCCAAATTAGCAATACTGCTGCTCTTACTTCTGTGGTTTGACTGTTTCATACAGGAGAAGTGAAGTAGTCAAGACCTAGAGGATTAAATATATCAACTGACACCTCAATACCACAACATCTTCCTTTTACAACAAGAAACATGATAATGAGTAGGCTACCGGGTAACTATAGTGGATTACACACAGTTAAAAAAAGCTTTGGCTGTTTAAGAGCACTAGCTGCAGTCCACATGTGATTACGTTTCTGTTATGATTGCATTAATGATTCGTGGAGAGTCAAAACTGAGTCAAAACAAAAACTCTTAAGGGTCTACTAAAAAGCCTTATTCCAGATGTTTCATTGGAGAAACCTGACATTTCTTCTTGCAGTTAAAAACAGGAAACTGAACTAGAATCAAAGCCGTGGTGTGGTTGTGTTTTGAAAGAATCTCATCGACCAGTGATGCTCAATTCATTTAGTTAGATATCCACCTTGTGGTTTAAAAATAGAACTGCACGTTTCACAGCTCTCAAATGAATGTCTTTATGAGGCTGTAGTGGCAGTATGTTCAGCCCTTTCACACAACGTCATCATTTAAACTTATTTGTAGCCAAAAATTAACATAACAGTTGTATTTTTTAATGGGTCTAAGCCTGAATCAGATGTAGTCGATTGATCTTGAACAGATACCACAACAATATCACACTTGGTATCATGTTCTTCTTTCATGATCTACTCTGTTGGTCTATCACATGAACTGACTCCCTCTGAAGGGCCTATTGGTGAGTTAGACAAAACTACATCTCATGATGGAGTGAAAAACAGAGGGCATCAAATGCTGATAAATACCCACATGAAGATAGTCACTTTAATGGACTTGTTTAATGTTATGCTCTGTTTTATTGTGATAAGAGTCCTTTGAAAAGTAATACTCAGTGCAAGATCAACTAAAAGGAAACTGTCGATCATTAGTTTAAGTGGATTTGATGATGCTTTGATTACTCATAATTTAGATTCAACTGATAAGTACGTTTTATCATATTTATCTTTGTTACAAAAGAGCCTCCTTGTATATCTTTTGGGAAGAGAGCATTTTATTTGCAAGAACTTCAATAAAACTTGTTCGGGGTGTCAAAATAAGAAAAAAAATCTGCTACAACTTTGGTTCTTGGTTTGTAAATGTTAGTCTGATACAGGAAAGGGAAACAAATGAAACAAATAAAATTCATTTTCCTTCATAGGGAACTTGGAAAACTTTTACACATAGTGAGTTAAAGTAAAAATCAACATTTCAGGCTTGTAGGTCTGCTGAGACTTCCTCTAAATAATGTGAATGTGGGCAGGTCTTTCTGGCGAGTACATTTCAGGGAGCTATTTGCCACACACCTAAATAGCCAGATCATTAAAAATAACTATGCTTGGTTTTGATTTCATTTTGGTGTAGCTGCAGCTTGTCTCCTGCTCCTCTGTTGTCTGCATGTTTGAGTTTTGCAGGGTCAGGCTAACACACACAACACACACACACACACGCACACACACACGCACGCACGCACGCACGCACGCACGCACGCACGCACACACACACACAGGCACACAGGCACACAGGCACACAGGCACACAAACACCATACAGCACTGTGGGGGCCTCAGATTTGGATTTTACCTCTTGTTCTGGATCAGTATGCATCTGAACTGAACACTGACATAGAAAATGTCTCTGTGTGAATAGATTACCTTTACACCCTTAAAGTTTATCCTAAAACTTTGGTCTGGAAACTAAGGGATTCCCTCTTAGCCTTAAAGTAGGGCGGTTACTCCAGATCCTGATATTTTGGTTTGACAAAGCAGAGACTTGATTTTTATGTTTGTGTTACACTAGCTGTTGTTTACCTGGTTAAGTTATCTGAATAGAGCATCAACAAATCTGGCTGCCCATTCTGTTCTCTTTATAACTCTATTAGTGTTGAAGTTCCCGAGAGTCTCACGTGCCTCCTGAGATCTGCAGTGATGGTGAACGACTGTTTTTTTTTTCAGGCTGAACTTTACGCCCTCGTCTACTTTGCTGATATTGTCCTTTCTTCCTACCACTCAACACACACGATGAGATTCCTCGACGCACACAGTCACACAGGCTTTTAGACACTCATTAGCCTTTACTAATACAATAAGTGTCACCTTCCATTACATGGTGCTGGGTTGGATATCAGGATTGGAAACCAACCAAATCTTCACACAAGGGGTGCTACCCCCTCATGCACGGTATTGTCTTTCATCACAATGTCGGATTGTTTTCTCTTTGCTCTTTTATACTTAAAAATAAGAATACATACACTTAATACAGAGATTTACTCAAACTGAAGTTTTACCAAACATGTTAGCAATCTCCAAGACTAACTTTGGAGGCAAAAGTTAAGAGACACACGCTCCCTCATCCTGTGGATCTTCATATTAACTTAGAGGTTTGTTACAGAGCAGCTGTTTAAAAGGAACCACCACACCCCACCCCCCTCAGTCTGTTGTCTCGCTTATGAACAACACATGCAGAGTGGTACAAAATCTTAATTAAGACTCCTAATTCTCCGTGCCATCGCCTGACTGAGGCTGTGAACTCACGTGAAGCTCTGCTAAACACAGCATGAGGGTGGATGGCATTGGACAGAGACGGTCCCTTTCCTGGCTTTGATGTGAAAAATAAACAGAGCTCAGTTTAAAAGTGTTAATTTTGTGTTTTAATGAAATAAAATTCACAGTTTTAATGAAATTATGTTTTTTGTCAAATTAACTTCATTTTTTTGTTTATTACAGTCTAAATTATCTCTATCTATTTAAGAAAATATGCAATTTTTTAATTATTTCAATGTTTGAGCTTCACTTTGTATTGATGTTGAATCTCTACAAACAAATAACCCGCAATGTTTTACTTCCTGAGCCCTAAGAGGTTTTAAAATCTAGTTTGTTAACATGTTAATGAAGCTGCGGCCTACTGTAGATCACCACACATGTAGAAATGTGAAGTGTCTGCCACTGTAAAGGTGATTTCAGCCCTGGGTTTTGTATTGTATGTCGCTCTTTGGTACTGGAGGCTGCTCCCTCTGAGCTATGGCAGAGGGCATGTGGTCCTCTGAGAGCAGCAGATGCCCCGAAGACGACTTGCGACAGATGAGTC